CATGGAGTGGGTCCATTTTCTTTCTTTCTTTGAATCACTGTGATTTATTTCAATAACAATAGAAGCCTACACGTTAAGGAATTTGCTCTCTTTCACTAGATTAGGCATAGATTGATCTGGATGCAGAGCAGTTTTCACACTGAGAACCGATCAGTTTGTTACTTGGGTGCCCTGGGAAAGCCCCCCCACCGGGCAGATGTCCAGGGTCCGCTTCCTGGGCTCGTGCAGACAGTGCAGGCGCACAGGCCCCACACTTGTCCTAATGCTCTGCTTTGGAAATCTTGAAATTCTGAATAATTTCAGCTTGAAATATCTTCTGTTTCTGAGTGAAGTCTCGTGGGACCACACAGCAGTGAGCAGGTTACTGTAATCCGTGTGTCTGTCATTTTGCGCTGCCCATTCCAACGCCCCATGAGCTCTGGATCCATCACGTGTGCACGAAGCGAATCCAAGGTGTGTTACGTCTAGGATTCAGCGGGGGCGGGGGGTTAGGGTGGGCGTGGGGAGGGCTGACGTTCCGGAGAGGCTGTGCTTGCTCCTTCAAACGCAGAGAGAAGGCAACGGACAAGGAGCTGCATCATATCCTTCTTACCCGTGTCTGTCCCTGTGATAGCCACTTCCGCTGAAAATGATGACACAGAAGGACCGGGACAGGTGGGGCAACCCAGAGACCTTTCCTTTCATCCGTCCTCACTGGTCGGCAAGCCGAAGGCAGAGAGAGGTGGTAGAATGTGTGCGTATCAATAAATGAAATAAAAACAGCTGAGTTAGTTTGTGCAGGGTTCCCACTGTCCTGGTAAGAACAAAATACATATTCCTGTACGAGTTATGAGATACGAACTGCATACTTTCAATGATTGCAAATACAACTTAAGTGCTCTTATGTTTACATTTAAAAATGGGCATTGCACAGCATAAAGATGAATGGGTAAACAAATTCATGCTATAATAATAAAGTTTTAATTTGCTTTTACTGAGAGTGACATTAAATAGCAAATAAAAAAAGTCAAGAGAGAGACTGTTGAGGAGAGATAAAAGCTTTAAAAAGTCTCTTTAATGGGACTTCTTGATTTTTGAGCAAGGAATCTCTGCATTTTCATTTTGCACTGGCTCCTGGGCATTTACTGGATCAGGACGGGTCAAAGCGGTCTTGTCTGGGGATGAGATACACTGCCTGCTCTCTGTCACTTCTCGGGCCACCCCCAACAGCTTCATCTCCCTTTCTTGGTTCTCTCACGTCCTGAGTCGTGACACTGTGAAATGTCATCATCACTTCCTTCCATGATGACATGCACACGTTATATGGCTCGCTTCTCCTCACCGTCCAACCGCTGAGCTTAGCTTCTGGCAAATGCTTGATAACATTTTTTATAATATTATGAAAACTTCCAGCAGACATAAAAACAGAGACAGTAATTTAATGAGCCATTGCCCTCTTTGTCTACATCATCCAGCCCTTCTTTTTTTTTTTTTTTTTTTTTTTTGAGACAGAGTGTCACTCTGTTGCCCCGGCTAGAGTGCCATGGTGTCAGCTCTCAGCAACCTCAAACTCCTGGGCTCAAGTGATCCTCCTGCCTCAGCCTCCCGAGTAGCTGGGACTACAGGCACGCACCACCATGCCCGGCTAAT